CTCCTGATGCTGACAATCACAAACTTTAATTCTCTGCCTGGCTTCTCCCTGCTGTGCCCTCTGCCCACCCCCAAAATCCTTGGGAGAGGATGGGAAGGACTTAGGTCCAGCTCCCTCTCGCCAAAGCTCGCCCTTCAGAGTGATGGAGTGATGGGAGGAGGGGGGGCGGTCAGAAGGAGGAGATGTCGGGCAAAGGGCTGGGGGGAGAACAGTGCGGGAGAGAGGAAGTACCACTAAGGCTAATGGGAGCTTCCGTCCTGCTCCTCCAGCCTGACACTAATGTATTCAACCTGACATCCCATCTTGTCATGAATGAAGACTCAGCCGATCAGGCTGCTGGTTTGAGGGCTGGCAGCCTCGGCCGGGACAGACTGGGGCCAGGGCTCAGGCCTGGGGCTGAGCCCCTAGGACGAGGCAACTGGCAGGGGGCTGGCTTTCCTGCCTCCTGCTGAACTAACAGGTGCCCATCCAGGAGCCGACCTGAGGGAGACCATTCCTACCAGCCTGACAAGCCAGGCCTCGATTTCTCCTACTCCCCCAGCCCATCTCCCGTTGGGCCAAGCCGTCCTGCCTATGGAGGCTTCTCTTGGGCTTCTGGCCCCGCTGCCTGGGCGGCATCTCTCTTCCTTTGCGGAAGGCAGGTGGATCTGCTCAGAGCTACTGCCAAACATTAGATGGGAAATAAAGACTCTGAGACATCCCCTACCACACACCCAAATCACACAATCCTGAGATGAGCACGGGGGACAGGTCCCAACCCAGGTGACACATGCCCGCTTCCTTGCCTGCTGGGAGGAGCTGCTGCTGCCCGGCTCCCCCCTGGCCAGCCCTGGTGGGGTCTTCATCCCTCTCTTGCCTTGGCTTCAGCAGATTCCCTGCTTTCTATCTGCCCTGTGCATCTGCACCCTTTCCAGGAGCAGGCCCAGCTTCCAGCAGGTCCACAGAGGCCTCCTACTGGCTCAGAGGCCAGTGAAGGGCAGAGATCTCAGACCCCTCCTCTTATCCACCACCTGCCTCCTGAAGTGGCCACATTGTCTTTCCCCAAAGCCTCCCGGGCTAGTGAAGTGAAGGAGGAACGATTTGCTTTGAGAAGCATCTGGGTGGAACGGGGGACTCTCACCCACAAAATCCAAGCTGGCCCCATCAGTCACTTGTTAGACAGAGAGTCCCAAGGGCAGAAGGCCAAGCCAAGAGGAATCACAAAGACCAGAGGCCTGGCAATGACCCGGGCCCGGGAGCTTGGAGAGGGAGACGCAGGGCTGGAGGCAGTGCTGGGAGGAGAGGGAGGCCAAGAACCCCATTGGTGGATCCAGGTTAGTGTCTGCCTCCTCCCAGCCCCATTCCACTGCCCCACCCCTGCCAGCGGGGGAAGTGGCCACGGTGGCCTGGGCAAGAGAGATGTCAACGGGGCCGATGGGAGAAGGGGCTTGTTGACTGCAAACTGTCCATTATGGCTTAGATTATAAGCATATTGCACAGGGCTCTCTGCACGATGCCGGGGAAATCCAATACGCTGAAAGGTTAATGCAATCAATTAGGGTGACAAGGAAGTAAAGTAAAGCCTTCCGAGTAGATGAAAAGGAGAGAGAGAGAGAGAGAGAGAGCGCCATGGAGTTGTGGGGGTGCTATGGGTGGTGGGAAGGCAAGGAGGAAGAGGAACTAGAGGGATGCAGAGAGGAGGCCTGGAGGGGAAAGAGATATGGACAAAAGGTCAGGAGCCTGCAAAAAGAGGACAGCAAGAGAGATGGCAGCAGACCTAGCATGAGAGGAGGCCCAGCAGACTCTGCAGCAGACCTCTGACTGCAGGCGCAGCTTCTGTCTCCTTGCCCACTCCCTGCCAGCCTTTCCCCTCAGGCTTGGAGCCTGATTCCGACCTTGGCCCACAGCAGTAGAACCGGGCCAGGGCGGCCTTGGTCCCTGATCCTGGACAGAGCTAGCACCCACTGTGTAACCTCCAGGGCCTTCTCAGCCAGACTGCAGCCTGGTCCCCCCGCCCCAACCAATAGACCCAGTCTCAGACCTGGACTCCCCCCTCGGCCTGCTTGCCCCTCAGCAGCTCCTGGCAACACAGCCTTCACAGCTTCTCCCAGGCACCCCAGCCCCTCTTTGCCACAAGCCTGGGAAGCAGAGAGCAGTTTACAGATAGAGAAATTGGTGCTCAGAGGTTATGCCGCTTCCCAGAGCCCTGACACAGAAATAGAAGATCCAGGGCTGCCAGTCCACGACCTGTGGGGCTTTTTATTCCAAGGTGCTCCCTGGAATCAGGAGCCCGCCCTTCTCCATAGGGTCAGACTCCAAGGCCTCCAGGGCAGAGGGTAGGGAGCTCTGTGGAATCAGCCCAGAGATGGCTGTAGCCTCTGGAGCACAAGCAGGCGGGAACTACCTGGTGGGTACCGGGCAAGCCACTTTCAGCCACAACAACTCACTCACTTGTCCCAGCAACCCTGCAAAGTAGATATTCTCCCCTTACAAAAGAGGAAGCTGTGAGGGCTGGGCACGGTGGCTCACGCCTGTAATCCCAGCACTTTGAGAGGCCGAGGCAGGCAGATCACAACGTCAGGAGTTTGAGACCAGCCTGGCCAATATGGTGAAACCCCATCTTTCCTAAAAATATAAAAAATTAGCTGGGTGTGGTGGTGGGTGCCTGTAGTCCCAGCCACTTGGGAGGCTGAGGCAGGAAAATTGCTTGAACCTGGGGGGCAGAGGTTGCAGTGAGCCGAGATCATGCCACTGCACTCCAGACCGGGCAACAGAGCGAGACTTCGTCAAAAAAAAAAAAAAAAGAGGAAGCTGTGGATCTGAGGTGAGAGAACTTGCTAAAGACTGCAGGGCTCCCGGGATACCAGCGGGGGCAAGAGCTCCGAGGAAGCAGGGGCTGCAGAGGAGAGGAAGAGCTGAGACTTTGAGGCAGGGACTGAGCAGAGAAGGAGGCCCTAAGGAGAGCAGGGGGAGGGAGACCCCCGAACAGACCAGGACTGCAAGCAGCACTGCAACCCGAGCACTGGGCTCCCAGACAAATGCACCCAGCCCCTCAGAGCAGTCCCGATGAAGACATGTGCACAGGGCAGGACGATGGCTGTAACAGCTTTGGAACTGGACTTAGGGCCGGGGAAATGTACACTTCAGCAGAGGTGCAATGGTAAATTTCCTGTTGTGTACATTTTACCTCTAAAAAGAGAGAGAGACAGAGAGCAAAGTACAGGAGCTAGAAACTCTCAAGCAGGGGCTGGAAAACTTTTTCCCTAAAGGCCAGAGAGAAAATTATTAACCTTTTAGGCTTTGTGGGCCCAACAGTCTCTGTTGTAGCCATTCAACAATCTCTGCAAGTATAGAGTGAAAACAGCCATAGATAATACCTGAACAAATAGGCATGGCTGTGTTCCAATAAAACTTTATTTATAAAAGCAGACTGTGGGTCAAAGGTGGCCCGTCTGTCAACTCCTGCTCCAGAGAATGGAAGCACTTGGGGCGGAATTTCAGGACACAGAATGGCTGGCTTCACCCTGCTGCCTGGGGATGGAGGTATCTATCCTGTCTGGACCTCATGGGCGGAGGTTTCTAGAGGAAGCAAGGTTCTCATAATCAGAGAGTAGAGAAAAGGAAGGGACAGAGAACAAGGTGCGGCGTGGGAAGCCAATATCCAGGAACTGGTGCTAGCTCGGGGCATCCTGAGGAGCCTTCCACGGCACTCAGATCCTCATGGACTATGTGAAGGCATGGAGGCTTGCAGCTCTGAAGATTCTAGAACTCTCAACTCCATGAGACAGGGGTGAGGCCATGGTTAAGAGGAGGACGGGAGTGGCCAGAAGGGAGCAAGAAGGGGCACTAGGGAGAGAAAGGCAGAGAGGACCTGGGACAGAGCTGTAACCAGGGTGGTGCTGGTGGTAAAGGGAGGAATCCACGGGCCCCAGTGAGAGCGCAGGGCGCGGGCCGGGCCTGCCCTACACCGGGCCGCCTCTGATCACGTTTTCAGGGCCACTGCCCGCCAGCGCAGACAATGCTGGGGGAGCCTTTGAAGTCCGAAAGGGATGCCGCGGTGGGAGCCGGGGAATCTCCTCCCTTCCCCGTCCTCCTTGCGGGGGAGGGGGCCGGTAGGACAAAACCCAGAGCCCGTCGGTCACAGCCGGGGCCCCGAAATGCGAGAGACAAAGGGAAAACAAACAGGTTTGGAGCCAGGCGCACGGTGCCGTGTCTGTCCCCCGCCCCGCCGAGCGGGGATGATGGATGGCTGCAGCCAGCCAGCTCGCCCGCCGGGCAGGCCCCGCTATTTACATAACACTGGCGTTCCACCGGTCACCTCTGACACAGCACTGCCTGGGGCCCGAGGCCCGGTGGCCCCGCGGTTTCTCGCGCCACCACCCGGGGAACTGACACAGCCCGCGAAGGCTGGGCCAGGCTGGGCAGCCCCGTGTGCTTGGACTTCGGGGGAGCCCCATGCCTGAGGAAAGGCAGGACATGGCAGCCTGTCCTGCCCTCGGCCGTGGCCTTCTCCCTGCCAGCCTCTTAGGGAGGACAGAGGAAGTCACTGGGGGTGGCACAGCCTCCGAGGAGCGAAAGCAGTACTGGGGTTCTGGGGCCTTCAAGTCCAGCCGTTCTTGAGGCAGAGCTTGGGCAGCACTTCCAGGCACAGCCAGCCACTGCCACGGAGGCAATGGCACTGTGAGAGCGGGCACCTCAGGCTGGGTAACCTGAGCCCAGCCACCACAGCTGCCCCACCGCCCCACGCTGCCCTGAGCACATTCCTTCCCCAAAGTCTGCAATCCATATGTCCCCAGACCATTTCCAGCCTAAAAGCCAAACCGAGGGGATCCCACTGGCAGGAGGGCATCTTTTCCATCAGGGCGGAGTGGGCAGGGTGGCTGCAGTTCCCCATCTCCATCTTCTCATCTCTCCCTGGGTGCTCAGCAGGACTGAACCCATCCCAGGGAGACACGTGCATGAGGTGAGTGGTCACCAGTTGGGGAGAGGACGCGAGGCTCAGGGAGGGGCTCAGGCCTTACCTTGTAGCGGGTCCTAGAGCCTCCTCGGATGTAGCTGGGGGTGTCACTTCATCCTGGAGAGGCAGAGAGAGGAGCCCTGTTAGCCTTTCCAAGCCCATGACTCCCCAGTGCACGCCCACCATCCCTCCTGAGCACCCAAGGGTTCCCTGCCCCACATGGGCTGAGGGGCTGATGCTCCAGGGCCAGCCAAGAGGGCCAGAAACTCAGGCATGCCGGGTGGACTCTGATTTGGTTCATTCAGGTATATGCCAGCCACAGTTTGTGAAAAAGTCAGAAAGCGGTGGGAGCTGACTACAGGGGCAATGTGGTCCTCAGGATCCCCCTAGCCAGGTGGAGAAGAGTCAGCCGTGCCGGGCACACTGCTCCGTGGAGGAGGCCGGGAGTGGGGGTGCTGGTGAAGTGGTCTACATGCTTCTGTGGAGCTGTAGCGGCCTAACAGGGATGCCTGGGGACCATGACAGAATACAGCAGTAACTGCTCCTTTACTCTCTTCCCTGGGGCCCCTGAACATAAAAATGACAGATGCCAAACGGTTCGCTCTAGCAAGTTGGTGACAGAGGGGCAAGGGCTGGCTAGGGGCCAAGGCACCAGGAAGCCTCCCTCCACGCCCCAGGAGCAGGCTGCCAACAGCACCTTCCACCCCGGGCTCTACCCATGAGTCATCACAGCCCACATCCAGAGACAGTGCAGGGAGAGGGACGATGGTCTGACAACGTGGAGGCTTTAACCAACACACAGCCCAGCCTAGCGTGCCGGGCTGGGGCCCTCCTGCCCAGAGAATGAATTTGGGGAGCCAGGTTCAAAGGGGCAGCCTCTGTGTACGTAGAGAGAAAACCCAGGGAGCCCCCCAGCCTGCTGGCCGGGCCCCCCAACCCTTGCTCGAGCCAGGCCCTGCCCCTGCAGGCCTCGGAACCCTACCCAGGCTTGGGGAGGGCTGTCTGTTACGTTTTCTTCTCCTCTCTCCCTCATTTGTGGCTTATCAATGATGCAAGAGGAATAACACCAATTTCCTTAGGCTATGTAATCCCCAAATCAGATTGGGGGGATTGCGGGAGATGAGGTGACCTTGTTCAGGGCTCCCGGAATGCCACCCAGTCCCGCCGCCCGCTCTCCGGTTCCCAGGACATATTTAGACAGATAATGCTAATTGTACTTGACACGTCCTCTTAAGGAGGGCTCGGCTCTCCACCAGCTTTTGCCGCTTGTGCTGGGCTGCCCGGGCAGAGGGTGCCCACTGGGGTGGAGCCTACCCTGCCAGATACAGGGCTCTGGGAGGGCTGAGGGCCCGGTAGGCATTGAGTGGTTGGAAAGCACTGCCCCACGGGCCTCTGATGCCCATCTCATCCAGATGATGAGAGGCAGGGGGTCTGCAGAGAGCTGGGCAGACCCCTGAGACAGGGGGCGGTAGAGAGGATGGGGAGCTGGGCAAAGGGGGAATAAGGAAAAGGGAAGGATCTGGCCAGGAGAGGAGAGGATGGAGGAGGAGGCCGACAGGGAGGGTCACAGGGGCCGGGGATGGAGACCCCCAGGCCTCCACTGCCAGGCACCAGGTGGGCTCAGCCATCAGAGCTCAAGTTCTGGCTGGGCAGCACAGGGCCCTGGCTGGGTGTCATCCTCACCGTCCCATCTGTCCCACACACTCCTGTCTGAGATCTCTCAAGGCACCCTGGCCAGCCTCCTGTGGACCCCCAAAGCCCCCCAACTCCACAACTCTGGTATCTCCCTTCCACCACCTTTCCCTCCCCTCCCATCCTCCCTAGCAACTGTGCATTTATTAATTCATGAGGCACTAATTAGTTCTTTGTTTAATTTTGTGTTAAACAGACTGACCGGAATGATAACGACTTGCAGCGCGGTGTTGCCGTCCCCAACCACCCCTGTTTTCTGACAACAAGGGAGCGCAGGAGACCGGAGCGCTGAACCCAAATCCCTCAGCAGTTGCACTTCATTAAGTCAAAATGTGACAAGAAGCTTAGAGAGCAACTTGCAGATCTGATCACACAGAACAATCAGGGAGGAAACTTTCCAGGAGTTGGTCGGGGGTGGAGGAGGGAGGGGAGGGCCAGAGATGCGTACGTACAGGGACCAGGACGCGCATGGGGTCCTGTACCCCACCTGCCCAGGGCAGGTGTCCCGGCTGATGGGAGCAGGAAAGCTGTCCCTGGGTGGGATCTGGGACCCCAGTGGGGGCCTAAGAAGTAGCCGAGAGTTCATCTTGGTCTCTTCTTCCTTCTCTGGGCGTCTTTTCTTGTCTCTCTGCCTCTCACTGTCCCCGATGTCTGCTTTGTGAGTGGCCCACATGAGTGAGTGGTCAGCACATCTGGGACCTGGTAGCTGATGTAGTTAAGGAAGGATTCTCCAAGGCCAGGGGAGAGGCACAGTACTGGGAAAACCCAGAGGACGGCAGCGGCCCTACGCTCAGCAGGACTGAAGTGAAGTGAACGCTTCCAGGCTAAGAAAGAAAAGCGATGTGCTCGGAGATCACGGCAGAAAGTGCCTAAGAAATGCCAACACACCCATTACCTGCCAGCTGTCTGTCCGCCCATCCATCCAACCATCCATCTAATGTTCCTAATCCTAAGTACTCTGGCCAAAAAACTGAGGACCCAAAGGTTCAGAGTTCTGTCCAGAGGTAGATGGCAAATCAGAAACAGAACTGGGTCCGGGAGCTTCCAGGCTGTGGGGCTGATGGTGGGTTGGTAGCTGAGCTAAAAGTGTCAACAGCCTTCTGACTTCCTTCCTCCTGTCCATGTGAAAAAGCAGGATCTTGGCCCCAGAGGCAACAGGCTGCCCATCCCACCGTCTCATTGCACAAGTGAGGATGAGTGATACCAAAAGCAAACCCTGCCCCAAACTAAAGGCAGTGGCCCTGCCCACCTTTTACCCACCCCTTATCTCTGAAGACACCGGCAATATCTTGGGTAAGAAGAAGAGCACAGAAGGGATGTGAGGAGGAGGAGAAGAAAACCAAAAGCACAGAGAAAAGTTGGCAAACGTGAGCCCTATGTGTGCAAAGAGCCTGGTGCCTTCTTCCCACTGGCTGCTGAACCTGCCCAGGTGAGGCCCGGCCCTCCCTCCTTCTCAGCCCCGGGCCGCCCAGCCGTGAGAGTGAGCCTGGGGGCAGCCTCATCCAGCCTTTCTCCTGGCCGGTTCCGAAGCACAGTGGTCTCTCACCGAGCCGGCAGCCCTGGGCTGGCTTCTGTTAATTTGCTGTCAGGCTGCCTAAGCAAACCAATTAAAACTAATCATTAATTATAAAAGAGAGCGAGAAGAGGAGGAGAGGAGAGGAGAGGGTGAAAGACCGAGAGGGGAAGGAGGAAGAGGGAAGATGGGCTGGAGAGGGAAGACCTGGGGGCCTGCAAGGGGCTCAGAGTGGGGCCTGGTGGGCTGGGCTCTGGGAGGACGAGAGGCTCCTCCGGCACAAGGGGTGCCAGGATCGGGGGAGGGCAGGAAGGAAGCAAGGGATGGAGGAGAGGGGGCAGCCATGGGCAAGGGGCGGAGGGAATGCCACGAGAGATGGGATGGGGGAGAGTGACGGGCAGAGAAGTGGCAGCGTACCAGGACCTTCAGGGGCCTCCTCCATCTGCAGTTCCCTCTTGCTGGAGCCGCGGCCGGTCCAGGACTTGACTTTGGAGCCTCTCACCCACAGCTGCCCAGCTCTATATTTATGAGGCACCAGGCCAGGCTCCTCAGCCAGCACTCCTACCTGCTCACCAGGCCTCCGGGCCATGGGGGCTTGGGGCAGCTGTCGGGCTGCCCATCCGCCCCCCCACTCCACTGCGTCTCCTTCCCCCTGCCCCCAGCCCCATGCTCACGCACAGGCTCTCCCTGGCCGAGCCCTTTCACAGGGGCTGGGGCCATGTCAACCCGGCAGCGTGAGGAGGGGGGCGGCACAGACAACGGGGCAGCGTCATGGAAACGGGCACTTTCCCGGAGAAATATTCTGTTTGGCCTCCTTCCTGCATTGAGGAGCTGTCAGGAACCTGAGTGAGAGTCACACTACCCCGGGACCAGGCGTGACAAAACCTATTTTCTGCCTCAAATTTGATTGATTAAAAAACTTTTTAGGAAAACCATGTTAAAAGGGTGAAAAAGAAAGAGAGAGCGGGAGAGGGGGAGAGAGAGAGAGGGAGAGAGAGAAAGAGAGGAGAAAAGAAAGAGTGAAAGAAAGTGCTGTCCGGAGGACGGCTGGGGAGAGAAAGGCCCCAGGCAGGGGCTGAGCAGTGCCCCGGGCGATGCCACAGGGGGATGCACGCCAGGGGGATCCCACGGCATAACCAGGCAAAACGGAAAGGTCAGAGGAAGCCCGGAACTTTTACACAGTGGTTAGCAGGACAATGAGGGGGCCGAGGGCCGCGTAGGCCAGCAGGTGCGGGATCGAGACAGAGGCCTCGGGAAAGGAGCCTGGGCCAGAGGCAGGGAGGGGCAGTGGGGGTGGCTGTCCAGCCCCCCGAGTCGGAGCAGGCCTCTGGATTGGCTCTGAGCTCTTTCCAGGCACAGTCTTGGTTGGAATTGGGCCAGAATCCTGAAAAACCTACATAGGGTCAAGAGGAAGGGCCCTCATCCTCTGGGGACAGGAAACGGGTTTTCCCACCTTGTTCTCCCAAGACCAGGCTTAAGAAATGTTTTTAATCACAGTAATTTTTAAAACGCAGGAGACATCAACTTGACCCTCCACCCTGAGGCTGGCTCAGCACCAGCTTTGAGCCCGCCTTCGCCTGTCTTGGACCTTCCCCAGTCAGGCCCTCAAGTCCTTCGTGGGATGTTGCCCTATGTGGTCCCCATGCCTGGCCAGGGACTTCAATGGTGAATTTGAGGCCCTGCCTGACTCTCTCAAGGCTCCAGGAGAAAAGCTGGCCTTCCCACCCCTCCTGAGACTCCCTCAGGAGGATGCAACCCCTCCATTTCCCAGTGGCCCTTCCCGATCTTCTTGGGCAGGACCCCTAGTCTCCTCAGGAGGAAGGGTCCGAGTTGGTGGCCTAGTTTGCTCTTCTTTTCTCTAAGGGCCTTGAAGGTCAAGGTGAGGAGTGGTTCTGGCCAAGAAATCAGAAAG